CCCGACGTCCAAGCGCCAACCCGGGAGCTTTGCACCAAGTCTTCATTTTATTGCCTTCACATGGGCGGAGGGCCTGCTGGGATCAGAAAGTCAGGGGAAAGTTTGCAGAGACTTTAAAGTGATCCCGAGAATCTCCCAACTAAGCCGTTGGGGTGCTGCCTACGGTTCCCCCGCGGCGGCTCGCGACCCAGTCACGCGCGGTCCGCCTGGTGGGCACTGCCCAGGTCCCACTTGTCCTCCGGGCCCCAAGCTCTTGGAGTCGCGCCCCTAGAGCAGCCGCGCGACTAGAGTCTATCAAGAAGCCTCTAGTCCACCACAAAGCACCCCCGAGCGGTTTCGAGGAAAAAGGAAACTGTAGTCCCCCAGGAGATGCCTCTCCACTATCTTCTGCGCAGACCTGGAGTCGCCTCGTCTCTAGAGACAAAGTCAGCAGCCCCCTTTCATGTTGGAATGAAGAGGAAGTAGGATGCTACTGGAGGGGCTGGAGCGGCCCCACAAAGCGCTCAGGGCTTTAAGCAGAGAACCGTGCGCCCAGGCACCAGACGCAGGCCAGGACGCGGTGCACCGTAGGGCCAGCGGCGGCCGCGTCCTAGCCAGGAGTCCTCGCAGCTGCCGTCGCGGCCCACAGGATTTTCTCTTGGGGCACAGAGCCCGGCCTAGCCTCGGGCCACCCGCATCTTCCCTTCCCGCTGTCCTGCCGGCGGACTTGTGGCGTGCTGCACACAGCAACCAACGCCAGGCGCCAACTCTGCGTGCCGCGTGGGAGACGCGGGCGGGAGGGGACGGACAGGGCTGTGTTTTTACTTTCTCTAATCTGTGGACTTCATTGCGAAGTTTCCCAGTAGACACCTCTGCCCGCAGGTCGGAGCCTCCCACCGCCGCTCCTTCATCTCCCTCCTCCTCGCCCCCTGTGAGCCTAGCAAGCCGGAGCCTCCGCCTCGGCCTGGCCGCCTACTCGGTACCCCGGGCCAGGACCCGCGCGCCCGCGGTGCCGCGCTGCCAAGTCCACCCCCTCCCCGAACTCCGCGGGGGTGCCTCTCCCCAGGGCGAAACTCGCCGACCGGGCGCACGGAAAGGAGACACCCGCCGCCTCCCGAGAAACTCCTAATACCATCCATACAGCTTTAATGCGTTTATAATTCGATAAGTGATTTCAATTTGAAATTGTTAGTAACTAATTTTATGGGTAATTTTTCCACATCAAATATTTAAGCATCAGATTAAGGGAGCCAGTTCCGACACAGGATAATAAGGGGGTTTTCCCCCCCCCACCCCCCGTGCCTCCGCCTCCCTCCGTTTCCTACCGAGTCGTTTTTCCAAATCCCCAAAAGATGGCAGTCGAAGCCGACATTCTTCTTTTCCTGTGGCTCTGCTAAGGGAGGGGGAGAAAGAGAGGAGAGGAAGGGAGGGAGAGAAAGAGAGGGGGGAGGAAGGGAGGGAGCGAGAGGAGAGGGAGAAACTAGACGTTGCATGGACTTTTCAAACTAATTCTTTCACACGTTTCTAATACAAGCAAGAAGCGACGGTGAATTTCCTGGAAATGTCCTGGCAGAAAAGAAAGCCCCAAACGTGCCTGTGGGCTCAGAGTAAGAGATGTGAGAAACTCAACACTTTCAAACTAAACCCTCAATTCAGAAAAGAAGGGGGAGAGGAGAGACCGGGAGAGCAACAGACTGCCTTTTTGATATTTCTTTGTATTTTAATACATACAAATACTAAACAACTAAGCAGCTTGTTTCCTCCAGGACAGGACTCTGCACATTACGTAATGGGAGGAGAAGAGGTAGGGGTGCGGAAAGGTGATAGGTGGGGGGCGTACTGCTGGGGGTGTGTGTGGGGGTGGGCCTGGGGCCAGCAGCGGATGAATTGCAGACCAGTTGCCAAAACTTTTTTTTTCCCCTGCTGCTGCTGCTGCGGCTGCCTTTGCTGCTGCCTTTGCTTTGAATGTGGGTAACTAGGAAACAGCAAGCCGTCTGAGAAGACGGAATTTCCAACGTGTAAAATGTTCTTAACGGAACCATTGAGCGAGTGCAATAAGGCGTGAGGGGGAACTAATCTTCCCATTTAAATGTTTGTGGCAATTTTATCTAAATGAATTTTAATGCTAAACGAGGGTAATTCCCCATTTGTAGCGCGTTTACTTCTCTTTCCTGTGCTTCTAAAGCAGTCGAACATCATGCAATGAACAATAACAATAAAAATACTGTCAAGGCATATTATTCATTTTGAATGTGTTATAATTACAGCTGATTAAATATGATAGGGTAAAATATTTTTAATTCTTTTTTTGAAAAATATTTAAATCATACTAAAAAGTAGTCTCATTCTGCCGGCTCCCCCCTTCCCAAATAAAAATAAAAAGCAGGTACAATTGTGTGCCCTTGTTTAGAAGAGGGCGTTTTGTTTTTGCCTTTTAAGAAACATCAAAAACACTCTCAGCACCTCTATTATTTCCCTCTTTCGGATAAGTGTCCTCAATAACCTCCGAGCTGGCTCTGAAATGTACAAGAGGAAAAGCTAAAATAGCATTAAGGGGGAGGTGGGGGTGTCGAGGCCAGGAAAAAAGGACCTGCGGAGAGCAAGGCTGTCACACAGAAGGGGAACGCAGGAAAAGAACACTATTTTTTTTCTAATTCACTGGACACTAATGATCTTGATTCTTCATAGCCTCCATATTCCCTAATCACGTGTACCCTTCTGCTCGCTCTCGGATTCTCGCTCTCTGTCTCTCTGTCTCTCTCTGTCTCTGTCTCTCTTTTTCTTCCCCCTCTCTCCCTCCCTCCTCTCTTCCTCTCTCCCTCCCTCCCTCCCTCCCCGCTGCCTCCCTCTCTCTCCCTTCCTACCTCCTCCCTTTTCTTTCCCTCCCCCACCCTGCAAGAGCTTCCTCAAGAATAAAGGCTGAAAATAACCAACTCACCCAGGCATGTACTGGGGGAGGAGGGGCAAATGGATGGTTAGTTTATAAAGTTTATGATTAATTTTCAAAGTAAATAAATGGTTGTTAACTGCTAGTAACCACCTACCAAAAGAGAAGTATTTCACTAATATGGACTATTTATATAGACGACGAATTGCCACTGGGTCCAAATGGGAAATTTAAACAAACCCATATATGGGGTGGGGGCGGGGTGGGGTGGAGGGCGCTGCGCGGGGAGGCTGCAGAAGGCTGAGCCTGGCTCTCCTTCTGCGCATCCACGTGTTTAGAAACAAGGCCCCATAAACAAAAGGTGAGAGTGCGCATTGCTGCTCCCGCAGGTGAGTCAGTCAATCACACGTCACCTAGTAAACCCAACCCACAGCTGGTTTCCCTTTTCAAATAGAAAATAGAATTGTTCAAGGCGGGTTTATAGAGTGACACGGGCCTGAATGTCAGACTTGAGTTTAAGGCGCTCTCCTCAAACCCATCCTTTGTTTACAAAGCAATCACTGCTAAAAGGCTGATTTTTAAAAACGAATTTGCCTTAATTAAAATATTTGTATATTTTCCTTAGCTTTGGGAAGCACTTTTATAGCAGCAATTTTATTTAAATAAAATTATAAGCTATTCCAGCTTAAACATATTATTTTGTACCATTTAGCTGGCTGCCATGCAGAAATTCTGTTCAGCTGTTCTGGAAAATTGGTTAATAACCAGTTTTATCCAATGAGAACATAGAGCATATTTATAAAAATTAGATTTTGAAGCCTGGTCTCTTCAATTCACATAGTTAATTTCCTAATAAACATATGCTGCTCATTGTAGGTAACATCCTTAGTAAAAGACTTAACTCTGTACTTAGTTTGCCATTATGTGCAAAAATAATTTCACTGATATTAGATGAGTAATTCTGTTGCATGTAATCTGAGTATATAGTTAGTTTAGTGCTCTTAGGCCTTAAATTTGCTGATATTAGGAGTTTATTAAGTCAGCTTAAAGAAACCAGTGACTGTTATTAAATAATTTACTTTATGGTTAAAATTTTCAAATACATATGTCTTGGAACTAAAATTAATTTTTGTATTTACTGCATTAATCATTAAAAATTTGGGGGGCAGTAAACAAATTTTTCAAGCAGTGGAGTCAGCATGACAAAAATAATCTTGTTTTTATTTTAGATTCATGTTTCATTACTGCACTCAAACGACTACAACTGGGCTTGGCGTTATTATACAATCCAAACTGTTTCCGTCAGAAACGCTAAGACTCAGTGTGCAATGATTGTTATTAATAATTAGCTCCTTGGTTTCTTGATAGAAAAAGGCTATCAACAAGCATTTGTTTATCCACAACAAAAAGTATAATTAGCTTATCCCACTTAGTAAATCTTGTATGCATGCCAACTCATACCAAACTGCTACTTTTACAAAAAAAAATTGCAATAATACAGTTCATTTTTCCAGTCCTTTTTGCACAAAATTTATTTACAATGTCTACATAAATGCTCCAAGGTGGGACTATGGAAAAATACACACATGACCAATGCTTTGCTCAGAAATAAAGTCAACATATTAAAAATAAATCTTCAGTCTATGTTTTTGAGCTGCATAAAACAGGAAGTGATGTATAAGGTGGTGGTTGTTGCATGGGGACAATGATGCTTGATGTGACAATTAGGCTTCTAAACACACGGCCTTTTGGTTTCCATGCCTCCTCCTACCAGTCTCCTTAAGACACTGCCTGCAACAGCTGATTAATCATTGTTGATGACTGCAGTTTTTCCCATCCTTCCCGATTTACATCTGTTCAGGCCAATTCAAATATGGTGAGTAAATGAATTAGACATGCAAATTCAAGCCCCAGGCTAGAGAGAGGGAGAGAGAGGGAGAGGGAGGAAGAGAGAGAGAGAGGGGCGAGAA